TGCCCTACCCATTATCCAGCTGTGGGCTCAGCTGCCTCTTATCCAACCATTCCCTCGGCTGTGGCTCTTCTCCCATCTTCCGAGGTCATTCCCACCTACCATTACAACATGGCTAGATAAGGGCCTTTACTGCATACAAGAACAAATCCATTTCAATCTATTGATTGCACGGCAGAAGGATGTTGGCTTTAGTTCCCACAGCAGTTTAAATCCAATTCTTCTTCCCTGCAGCTTAGCAGACACCTTGCTTTGCATTCTCCGCCTTGTGGGTTGAAATAATTAGGTTTCCTGCTCTAAGAAAGTCCAGCTGCCAGTGTCACTCCTCCTTCGTTTCCACTCCGTTGGAATGGTTTCTTCATCCAGACTGTAAATTAAACCGTAAGCTAAGAAAGGCAAGCAGCGAAATCTGGTTTGATTAGTTGGACTATGGGATCCATCCTTCAAAAATAGAGCCGGGCTAGAGGGCTGATCTCAGAAGAGCAAACAGGGTTAGAGCTGATTAATACGCAGATGGGAGACCACCACGAAATCTCAGGGTTCTGGGTTAGAATGGAAAGTTGAAAAAACTTCCAAGAAGAAAATTGATTCCATATTGTTGGCAAATAAACTGTTTCCAGAAAGTCACCGAGAGTCCATCTCAACTTGGAGAATACTTTACCGTAATGAAATACGCCACTTGGTACGATATAGCACTTTTTGGAATATTTTTCTTAGAAGTCTAGCTAGTCACTGGAAAATAGGTTATCCAACTGGGTTTTCAGACGGATAGGTTATGGCAGAACAATAGGCCAACAGTCATGAATATAGCTACTTTTCCAAGCTGGGAGAATTCGTTTTGAAGGCACCTGTTTTCTGAAACTGGAGGCTGTGCCATAAAGAAGGTGGAATCACACGTTTTCTTAGTGGGTGTCAACCCAGCTATGTTCTTTATTGAAGTTGATGCCCCGAGGAATTTAGATATCCGAAACTGGCACGGGGAATCAGCAGTCGGAAAGGAAGGGACGTGGCAATGGGAGGCCAGAACAGCTTTTAAAAATCTCTCCCTCATTTTGAGGATAGGGTGTTGGGTGTGTATGGCTGGGCATTTAACGGAGTTGGCAAAGTTGCTGTCCAAAGGCGGGGGGGAGAAAATGTTGAGACTGTCCTGCGATTTATGAAAAGCGAACCCTGGGAAGACCAACATGGACGAAAAATTCAGGCGTGCATTTTAATGTAGGCATGCATTTTCCCCCTTTCTCTTAACATTTGGGGGATTCTCAGGAAAGTAACTGCAAAAAGATTACCTTTGGCTGTGCAAAGGTCTCCTGAGCTATAAATACGAATATGAATATGTTAAATTTGTGCATGCCTCTTTAAGACGATCAATAGATACACTCCGAACAAACAGATATACAGACGAATATATCAATACACATGAACGTATTTGTAGGTCAGGAAGGAAATTTTACATATGCATGTATGTATTAATGTATACATATACATTATGCATACCAGTGCATTTATAGATAGATAGATAGATGAATAGATAGATAATCTTTATTGTGATTAATGACCAGCACACTAATACATTCATATATAAGAAATGCACACGTGTTTATATATACTCCCAAATTATCTTCTTTTTATTTGGGTTTTGTTTTTTGGTTTTTTTGGATTGTTGGTTGTTCTGTTATGCTTTTTCTATTTTCAATTTTGTTTTGATCCCTGTGTGCTCGGTTCAGAGAGGGAAGAAACGGAAACCGAAAAGCAGCCTCCCCGTGGTATTTTGAATACCGCTCGTTGCAAATCATCTAATCGCTGCTGGTATTTTTATCTTTCATCTTGATAAATCTGTGAACTGCTGCTCCCTGGGAATGCCAAAAAAAAGCAGGGGGGATATTTGATCTTTGCAGTGGGCTCACCTTTCCCTTACTAGCCCACCAGCGCTCTTTCCCCTTTCATCTCGTTTTGGACTGTGTTTAAAAATATCAGCCAATGCAGAGAAAGACCAAACAGTGAGTGCATGAAAAAGGAATTTTCCTTCTGCAGCCGGGCAGGGGGGTCATTCCCTGATGGGCCTGGCCCCAAACCACAGCAGGGTTTGCCCCCCATGGGTGGCTGACCCGCCCAGCAAAATCGTCACCCAGGCATATATTACAAAAATGTGACATTGCATGGCTTGGAATATATTGCACAAAGATTGTGTTGCTTGGCAGAATGCATGTTTTTTATTTTTATTTATTTTTTAATGTTACATAAGTTCAAAATTAATATTACAGAATTATGCAATTAATATTACAGAAATGTTGCATTGCAGTGCTTGGAATAATGCATGTATTACCAAAAATGCCACGCTGCATTGCTTGGAATAATGCATACTTTCACTTTTGTTTATTTTTAATATTACAAAATTAATATTACAAAATTACAAAATTAATATTACAAAAATATTACATTGCATTGCTTGGAATAATGCATCTATTGCCCAACAGGTTACATTGCGCGACTTGGAATATATTACAAAAACATTGCATAGCTTGGAAGGATCCATATTTTTCATTTTTATTTATTTTTAAGATTACAGAATTAAGATTACAAAATGAACATCACAAAAATATTACACTGCGTTGCTCGGAATAATGCATCTATCACACAAACGATGATATTGCTTGGAAGAAGCCGTATATTACCAAAAAAATCTTTAGCTATTTTAGATCCTTGGGAAAGATTTGATAGTCAGACGTACCAAAACTGCTCAGAACTATCTAGCAGACTGTGCTTAAATAATGATGATGATGATGATGATGATGATGATGATGATGATGATGATGATATAATAATAATAATAATAATAATAATAATAATAATAATAATAATAATAATAGCAGCAGCAGCAGCTGCCGCCGCCACCTCTTCCTTGGCACATTTGTCCCAGTTGACCTCTGCAGCGATTTGAGCCGAGTGGACCTCCTGTTCCATTTGGCCGATGTTTTCAGGCCGTCGTCACGTCGCAGTTGACCTTGACAGCTTCCTCCACGCCTTCCTGCAACCAGAGCTGTCCTGCTTTCCCAGGCCTTCCCTCCTGAGTTGTTCCCTTGTGACTCTTTCAGGTTTGCGGCCAAGATGATCGAGGGGGCGTTGGACTTTAAGACCATGATTGACAAGTGAGTTAGAAAGCCTTTTGGATCTCCGGGGGGCTTCGTGTTCTTTGCCTGTATTCAGTTTCTGGGGGACATGGTGGAGTTTGTCCTTATGTTCCTGTCTGCCCAGCCATCTCTTTCGGGGTGCTAAAAGCAGAGCACGTGCAGAGAACTTAGCAGTGTGCTTTGAATTTCCAAGTCCTCGTGGCCCCCAAACTGTCTTTCCCTCTGTGCTGGACACTGTCCTTGAACACTGTCCCGGTGTCCTTTAACACTGAAACATCTTTGGACCAGTTTGGGAAAATGCTCAGGAAATGCTCAGAAGGGGTACAGAAAAAGGCTGTACAAAAAACCACAGAAATCTGGCATGATATAAGCAGGGTGCCTGGTTTGCACACAAACTGAGTTTGCGCCCTGGATGGCTTTACTGTACCATTGTCCACCGAGTCATCACGGCTCCGGGAAGCAAAGTTATAATCTGTGCCGTAGAGATTACAGAGCAGTGGCATTCACACAACACGTTAAACCAAAACTAAACCCGCAGGGTGTGAACATGGGGATGTTTTTCCAACCTGGGGTCCCTGTTGCGCGGTGAAATGTTTGCAGCGGGGATTCTTCTGAGCAATTTGTCATGGAGTTGCTGTTAGAAGTTCCACATGTCTTATTTGATGCTTCAGAAGAAATGAAAAAGTTGCCCGTTGGCATTCGGGGGGCTGATTTTTACTGGGGATTGGTAAAAAACGAAGGTGAGGATGTGCTTACATTGCCCACCCCTGTGTTGAATGAATTAATGAATGAATTAATAAGTAAAAGTGCTAGTGACATAGGTGTGGGTACATCTTTTGCATCCTCATGTATATTATACTTTATGGGAGCAAAAGAGGTAGATTTCTGTCCCAAAAAACTTACAGTCTAAATCAGTGTTTCTCAACCTTAGCCACTTTAAGATGTGTGGACTTCAACTCCCAGAATTCCTCAGCCAGCCATGAACTGGCTGGGGAATTCTGGGAGTTGAAGTCCACATATCTTAAAGTGGCTAAGGTTGAAAAACACTGGTCTGAATTTTAGTACAGAGGGTCAGTGGAACTAAGCAAGGCCAGAATAAACAATGAAATAATTTCAGAATAAACAATGAAATGAGCATGCCGCTATTCCGGCTTCATGGGACTTGGACTTTGTCACAAGGCTGGGTTCACATGACACACAAGACCAGGTTAAAACAAGATTGGGTCCTTTGGGGTTCAGAGTGTTGTGAGAATCCAGCCCGTGTCATTAGCAGAAGGCAGTTTAATTGTGTGATGTGAGTCCCATCCTCATGACTTACTAACCCATCCCATGGTAGGAATTGAGAAGCTCAGATTTCATTGATCTGATGTCAGCCCTTAGAGGTAGTCCAGACAAGAAGCACGACAATGAATACTAGCTGTATCTTTCTTGTCGGGTTACATTAACAGAACCTTGCAGGTCTGAAAGTATTTCTCCCCTCCTCTCCTTTTACTCCCTGGAAAACTAGGGAGGGTCCCTTTTGAAATGCTTCCCACACCCCTTTTCCTTCTGTGGGCTGAGACACCTTTTCCACACCTGTTGTCCAGTCTGCGGCTCTCCCTCCCATCTCCCAAGGTCATTCCCAGGGACTATTATAGAGTCCTTCTCCCTCCTTCTCCTTTTACTCTCTGGAAAACTAGGGAGGGTCCCTTCTGAAATGCTTCCCACGCCCCTTTTCCTTCTGTGGGCTGAGACACCTTTTCCACACCTGTTGTCCAGTCTGCGGCTCTCCCTCCCATCTCCCAAGGTCATTCCCACGGACTATTATAGAGTCCTTCTCCCTCCTTCTCCTTTTACTCTCTGGAAAACTAGGGAGGGTCCCTTCTGAAATGCTTCCCACGCCCCTTTTCCTTCTGTGGGCTGAGACAGCTTTTCCACACCTGTTGTCTAGTGTGCGGCTCTCC